AGGTTTGGGACCAGCCCCTCTACTATTTTCCATGTGTAAATTATTATGTATCTCTCCCGCCTGCGCTCAAGGGAGTACAGATTTAGGCTCTTTAGTCGGTCCCAGTAATTTAGATGTTTTACTGAGTGGATTCTAGCAGTAAAGGATCTCTGCACGCTCTCCAGGTCAGCAATTTCTCCAGCTTTGAAAGGGGCTGTCATTGTGCAGCAGTACTCCATTCTAGAGAGCACTAGCGTCTTGAAAAGTATCATCATCGGTATAGCATCTCTAGTGTGAAAAGTTCTTGTTATCCAACCTGTCATTTTTCTTGCAGTTGTGACGGCTACTTTATTGTGTTCTTTAAAGGTAAGGTCTTCCGACATGAGTACACTCTTACATCGCCTTTCCGTTCTATGTTATGATTTGACTGAGTTTTGTACGTGGTTTCTGCTTTTATATTTTCATTTCTTCCGTAGCGCATGAGCTGGAACTTATCTTCGTTAAACACCATATTATTTTCTGTAGCCCATAGAAAGACCTGATTTACGTCTGATTGGCGTGTCCTCTATGTTGTCTACTCTCATGAAAATCTTAGTGTCGTCTGCAAAGGCACTGGGATATTTTCCTGGTGATATTTTCCTCAGGGTTTCTTGGGCTCGACCTCCTGTGTCTGGCCTAATGTTTCCAGCACTGAGCTTCATGACTTTGCATTTGCGTCAGTTAAACTCCAGTAGTCACTTATGGGAACATAATAATATTTTGCTTAGATCTTGTAACTTCAGTCGTATTCATTCTCATTATAATATTTGGTAGGTCATTCTCTGACCCTCTCACTGGGACTTAACCTGGTTGATACCTGCTTGATGGGGTTCTGGGAGTTCTTCTACTCCCCAAGCCCGGCCCGAGGCCAGGCCTGACTTGTGAACTACCTCTTGACTTTGTTAGAGTTACTCATTTATCCACAGTACCTCATGAGATAGGTACATGAGTACCTCATGAGACAGAGGTACACGAGTACCTCATGAGACAGAGGTACACGAGTACCTTATGAGACAGAGGTACTCATTTATCCACAGGAATACGTTTCTTGCCAATCCTGCTTTTTTGAGAGTGAGTGAGTGAGTGAGTGAGTGAGAGAGTGAGTGAGTGAGAGTGAGAGAGAGAGAGAGAGAGAGAGAGAGAGAGAGAGAGAGAGAGAGAGAGAGAGAGAGAGAGAGAGAGAGAGAGAGAGAGAGAGAGAGAGAGAGAGAGAGAGAGAGAGAGAGAGAGAGAGAGAGAGAGAGAGAGAGAGAGGAGAGAGAGAGAGAGAGAGAGAGAGAGAGAGAGAGAGAGAGAGGGAGAGGGAGAGGGAGAGAGAGAGAGAGAGAGAGAGAGAGAGAGAGAGAGAGAGAGAGAGAGAGAGAGAAAGAGAGAGAGAGTACAGGACACACACACCAGATGCCACCAATGATAACAAGCCCATAAATGTGGCAGCAATTAATCTAAATCAAATTTTATTGATAAGCATTATTGGGTACAGAGATAAGTGGTACTTTGGTGACGCAAGGCGCACGCAAGCATGCACGCACACACGCACGCACGCACACGCACACACGCAAGAGGCATGAGTTACGAAGAAAGGCTGCGGGAAACGCACCTTACGACACTAGAAGACAGAAGAGCGATGAGAGACATGATCACTACCTACAAAATTCTCAGAGGATTTGACAGGGTAGATAAAGATAAACTATTCAACACGGGTGGTACGCGAACAAGGGGACACAGGTGGAGACTGAGTACCCAAATGAGCCACAGGGACGTTAGAAAGAACTTTTTCAGTGTCAGAGTAGTTAACGGATGGAATGCATTAGGCAGTGATGTGGTGGAGGCTGACTCTATACACAGTTTTAAATGTAGATATGATAGAGCCCAGTAGGCTCAGGAATCTGTACACCAGTTGATTGAGAGTTGAGAGGCGGGACCAAAGAGCCAGAGCTCAACCCCCGCAAGCACAACTAGGTGAGTAAACTCGCAATTTCCGGCGCGCACGCAGCGTGCGTGTGTGTGTGGTGAATATACACACACGCACACGCACGCACACAAATTGTGAGAGATTAATAGAGCGCCAAAAATATAACTGTGTATCCGCTCTGTTAATCACATAATGTGACCGATGATTAGTGATTGAAGACCTTCTAGTCAGGTCCGGCTTCAGCTCCTGGTCCTGGCTCAAATCCCTCCCCCTTAATAACGACCTGCTCTTAACTGTACACTGTATATGTACTTTATAAATTGTTTTAATTAACGTATACTGTTATTATTAATATTTATTACTGTGTATACAGCATACACAGGCAGGTGTATAGTGTATACTTTGGATTATTAATATACGATTAATAATATTTTCAAATGTGTATTTATATGTAATGTGAAGGGTTGTTTTGGTAAGCAATTACAGTTATGAGGAACGACTCTGGATACGATCGACTGGAGGTATAGTGACTCACTATACAAGGTATAGTGACTCACTATATAAGGTATAGTGCGGTATAAGGTATACACCTCACTTGATCTCGCCACACCGCGGACCGGACCGCAGGGACACTAAACAGCCCCGAAATCATGTCAAGATAACCTCAAGATAACACCTCACAGCATGCACATGGAGGGTGCCACATCCTACATGCTGCCTCGTAAGCTTCAGCAACAAATGGTGGACTAGCGTTGTTGTAATAGATATATACGGGTCTGAGGGCTGCCCTAAGCGACAGCTTTCTTCATCAAGTTCTCACACGTCAGGCCTGCCCTAGGCTGCACTTGAGCAGAAGAGCTCTCAGATCCCAGCCCTTGAGTAATGGCGAGTCATGTTGGCCTCTGCCTCTCTTCCTCTCTCTCTTCCTCTTGCCATTCTCCTCCTCCTCCTCCTTCTCTCTCTCCCTCTTCCTACCTTCGCTTTCCCTTCTTCTCCTCCTTCCCATCCCCTGTCCACCCACACATAGGGCGAGAGGCAGTTTATTACCGGTTCAAATCCCAGCATCCGGTCACATGTTTTCTCTGGGTCTGGGCACACAAGCCAGATAGATGCCCGGCTTTCCTGAGAAGGCCCCGCCTCTTGGATTTATAAACTTGTCATTGGCTGAGAGTATCCAGGACCTTAGGCCTGGTTTCAGCTGATTGGGTATAGACCTAGAGAGGGGGCGGAGTCTTCTACAGCAGGAGAGCCTGTGAGAGGTGGAGCCAGGACTCCACCTTGAAGGATATTAGAACAAATATAATTAGTGTGATCTTTTGGGTCAACCAAGAAGCCACCAACACCGGTTGAGAAGCAATATGAAGGTATTTGTCTGTTTTGAATTCCCTGTATAACTTGTATTCCCTTACCATGCCTCTAAGGTTTAAATTTTTGTTTTAATTTTGCCCCGAGGGGCGAGTTTATTGGGCAGCGCCACTCATCCTGTGAGTGGACACACCGCCATAGTGACAGTATTGGGCAGCGCCACTCATCCTGTGAGTGGACACACCGCCATAGTGACAGTATTGGGCAGCGCCACTCATCTTGTGAGTGGACACACCGCCATAGTGACAGTATTGGGCAGCGCCACTCATCTTGTGAGTGGACACACCGCCATAGTGACAGTATTGGGCAGCGCCACTCATCTTGTGAGTGGACACACCGCCATAGTGACAGTATTGGGCAGCGCCACTCATCCTGTGAGTGGACACACCGCCATAGTGACAGTATTGGGCAGCGCCACTCATCCTGTGAGTGGACACACCGCCATAGTGACAGTATTGGGCAGCGCCACTCATCTTGTGAGTGGACACACCGCCATAGTGACAGTATTGGGCAGCGCCACTCATCTTGTGAGTGGACACACCGCCATAGTGACAGTATTGGGCAGCGCCACTCATCCTGTGAGTGGACACACCGCCATAGTGACAGTATTGGGCAGCGCCACTTATCCTGTGAGTGGACACACCGCCATAGTGACAGTATTGGGCAGCGTCACTTATCCTGTGAGTGGACACACCGCCAGAGTGACAGTATTGGGCAGCGTCACTCATCCTGTGAGTGGACACACCGCCACAGCAGCATGTACAACACTCCCCAATAGGAAGAAAACCCGCTGGGTTGTTCATCCTGTCACTTGTACCCAGACACAACTGGGACTTGCTTAACTGTCTCAAGTGAACAGCTCCTCAAACAAGATATCTCTAAGGTTAGGATGTCACTAGCTTAGGGATTAATCTATTTTTACATTATTAAATAAAGTTCTGTTAATTATTCTCCTGAGTATTTTATATATATTTTTCCCTTAATTAATTCTGAGTCTTAGATCTTAAACTGCTTTGAACATTACCTGTGATCTGATGAGCATTTATATGAGTAAATATTTTCCCCTTTTTTTATGAAGTTAATTTAAAATTAGTACCAATCATCCAATAAGTATAAAACATCAAAGATTCCGAAGCACTCGGTATGAGTAACCTGACTCTGCGGTGTAAGAATTGTCAAGATATCTTTAACACCGTGGTCATTTCTCCCTCCTTAATAACTGGCTGAACATTTTGTGCTGCAAGGGCGGACTCTTCCAGTTGTTTGGGGTTATATCCATGCAATTGCTACTGCTTGAAGGGTGACCAGTTACAGCGACCATTACAGCGAGTGCGGCCACAGTTATACAATCAGTAGTACTTGATGGTCAGTGAGTGTAACAATGGTGCCATGTCACTGGGGTTATGATTGTAGGTATTGTTACACCAGGTATTCTCCAGTGTGAATACAACCACACTTCCCCACACCAGCCACACCCACACTTCCCCACACCAGCCACACCCACTTCCCACACCAGCCACACCCACACTTCCCACACCGGCCACACCCACACTTCCCACACCAGCCACACCCACACTTCCCACACCAGCCACACCCACTTCCCACACCAGCCACACCCACACTTCCCACACCAGCCACACCCAGGGCAGGTATAGCCCTCCAGCAGTGTACGGGATCTAACCAGGTGTCATTCCTCCTCCCGCAGGCGACGGGGGTGCTGGAGTCCCTGGTGCCGTACTCGCAGATCGAGGACGTGCACGTGGTGGTGCCGTGCGGGGCCTCCGGACACAAGTTCTGCGTCAGGGTCATCGTCAGGGACGGCGCCCTGCTCCTCCAGGTAAACAAACTTCCTCCCTTATTTTTTCCTCCTATCTTTCTTTTTGTGTGGCGAGAGCGTGGCTCCGCGAGGATCCGTGTGGCTTCTCTTGGACTGTAGTTCTTTACCCATGGACCTCAATTATCATCTTTTGCTTCACTATGGAATTAAATTATATTCGTGTTTGTACTACAAAGGGATTTGATAATAAAGTTATGAATAATTGACATGGTTATTATTGGTAATGTTATGGTTTAATCTTTGAATAATGTATAGCCAGGGAGGTTCCCCAAGGGTCAACCACGGTCACGCGTTGATGGTACGCCTCTATGACACTACTTAGGTATTATATAGTATTAGATAGGGAGCCGGTCGGCCGAGCGGACAGCACGCTGGACTTGTGATCCTGTGGTCCTGGGTTCGATCTCAGGCGCCGGCGAGAAGCAATTGGCAGAGTTTCTTTCACCATATGCTCCTGTTACCTAGCAGTAAAATAGGTACCTGGATGTTAGTCAGCTGTCACGGGCTCCAGGAGGCCTGGTCGACGACCGGGCCGCGGGGACACTAAGCCCCGGAAGCACCTCAAGGTAGCCAAGGTAGGCTGCTTCCTGGGGGTGGAGGCCTGGTCGAAGACCGGGCCGCGGGGACACTAAAAAGCCCCGGAATCATCTCAAGAAGACCTCAAGAAGATCCCCACCACTATATGCCCGAAACGCTTTGCGTAATAGTGGCTTTAGGCATTGTATGTACTAGCTATACCTATAAGTTAAACAATCCTTGTAAATATTTATTGTATGTATGTACCTTACCTAAATAAAATTGTATTGTATTGTATTGTATATACCAAGCATGCATTAAATTTTGAGTGCTTTTGCCACACCAGAAGCGGACGAAACTTGATAATGCAACAGTTCGAGCCTGGCCTCGGGCCGGGCTTTGGGGAGTAGAAGAACTCCCAGAACCCCATCAACCAGGTATCAACCAGGTATCAGTTCAATCGAAACCCATCCCCTTAAACTGAGGAAGGGTTGATATTGTGGTGGGGGTTAAATTTCACCGAAACTTTGTAAGATAGCATGAGTATCGCGGTGCATTACTGTGAGGACAGGTCCAGCGGTGAGTGACCCGGCCAGTCACCGGGAGTAGTTACGACATCTGAGGTGACTGGCGGTCGGTAGTGAGAACCAGGTAGTCCACGACAGGAGATACGACACGGATATGACACGGGTATGGCCGACGATGCTCGTTTCGTTACGTGACCGAAGGGCGTGGTAGGGAAGTGTGGGTGGGGGGGGGGGGGGGGGAAGGGTGAGGGAGAGGGATGGGAGCATTCAATACGGGAAATATTGGATGAGGATGGAGCAAGAGGATATGTCCTGGTGCATGCATGTGTCGCAGTACGGGGCCTCAGACGCACTTCCTGCAGAAAGTATTCATGACTGTTGCTCCTCCCCAAGTCACTCATCCCTCCGGAACCCCGCAAGATAGCCAAGATAACACACGGCATGTGATATATGTCACGAGTGTGGCGACATTTACGGTCCGCCCTCCACTCTCACCCAGTTCCAAACGGACTCAGACGCCGGCAACCTCTCTTAAAATGGGCGTTGTGTTGTTGTGACTCGTTCTCGGCACGTACGAGGAATGCTCAGGCTAATCAGATTGCGAGAAATCAACTTGATGTTACGTATAACCTCCTGCCCTCGTATCTTCAGACTCACACCACCTGTATCGCCCGTCGGAGCTCCGTCTCGGGGTCCAGTCTCCCAGGGACACCAACACACACACCCTTGCTTATCCCGCCAAAATGTTGATGGGGGGCTCTTGTTCCCTTTAGCGGTGGTCGAGGGTGTGACGCTACCTGCCTCTCTCTACCACCTTATTACTCTCAACCCTGCGGCCCCTTATGCTCTTTGAGTCGGCATTCCAGACCACTTTGTTCCATGTTATTCCAGACCGCTTCGTTCCAGGTCATTCCCTGCCGTCGGAGGTGTGACTGTACACGAGCCGTGCTTGTGAAGGTGAGTGCCCGCCAAACACACACCGAAACTACGACGTTGGTACAACGTTCGAGCAAATTTTAACACTTCCTAACCAGTTATAACAACCAATATAGCAAGTTGTAACAACGTTCTAATACGTCATAAACACGTTAAGCCAAGATGTAACAACTTTATTACAAGTTGTACCAAGCGGAAAATAGAGACAGTTTCGGTTTGTGTTTCCAGGGTGGTGTGTGTGTGCTGGGGTGACCCGGGTGTGCTGGGGTGTCCTATACCGTTGATAGGTTAAGTAATAATTGTAATTAAAAAGCAATAAGATGCTTATCTTAACATACTAAGAAGGTTAGGTGAGGTCGGTGTTTTCTATGAAGCTTTTCTGGGTAAACTAAAATATTCACAATCAATTAGTATGTCACATATGCACTTATTAAAAAAGCCAATATTGACTGAAGGCAAGTGCGAGAACGGGTTGACCCATCACATGAGGGATTGGGAGGTTCTCCAGAGTTGTTCATAAGAAAGGGAATGTGTTCACTTGGCCTATTCTTATATCTAATTTGCCTTATCTTACCAGATTTACCTTATCTGTGGTATCTGTCGTGCTGCTTATCTTTGATATTTCTTCTTGTGCTTTACCAAGTGTGGGTTCCATGTTTGTGATGCATACTCTCGTACTGGTCTAACATGCTCTCTGTATAATAGTGTTAAGGATTCCTTGATCAGGTCCTTTAAAGCCATCCTTATGTTTGCTAGTCTTGCATATGCTGCTGATGCTATTCTGTAAATGTGTGTCTCTCTCTGGTGTTAGTACCGGTGTTTCCAATCCCATTTATTTTTTTTATTCCTACAACTGACTCCCTCATAAAGGCCACTGTCCTTATGATCTGTTTTCACTCCCAAACCAAATCGCTTTACATTCTGTATGATCGAATTCCAGTTACCATTTGTGAGCCCATTTCTGCAGTCTGTTCAAGTTTCTGTAGCGCTATGTAGAAATGTTCGTTAAAACCCCTTCTGAACAGTGTAAATTTATCTGTAAACACTGACGTGTACAATCCCACCTCCTCTAACTGGCTATTTACATAAAAAATACTTGTGTTGTAAGTACCGAGCCCTGGGGGTCCCTTATAATTTTCCTCCATCCTGACTTCCTCTATCACTACAACAGTGTGTTTGCTCTTTGATGTGCACTCTAATCCAGGCTAGTCACCCCGAGCTTTCTTTTCCAACTGGTGTAGCAGCCACTCGGGGGAGACAGCTTCAAAGACTCTTGATAATCTAGGAAGATGCATCCCCCTCATCCCTCTCTTTCCTTCTGAGTCTTACCGATCTTGTCAAAGAACTCTCTGAGCTTCGTAAGGCGCGGCTGTTTCTCTCTCAGATAGAAAGTTAGTCCTCGCCAGGTGTTCCACTTTCCTCTTTCTGATTATTGTCTAAAGCACTGGTTCCCATACTGGGGGCCATGGCCCTCTAGGGGGGCCTTTTTGCAATATATAGAGGGCCATCAGTTGAGGCAGTGTTGAGGCTATGATTGCAAGGGGTAGGAGGGGGGAGCACCAGCTAGTGGAGTGAGTTGACAGGTTGCTAAAAATGTTTTTAATACTGAGTGTAAGGGGGCCATTAAGAAGGACGCTACATTAAAAAGGGGGTAATGACTGTAAAGAGTTTGGGAACCATTGGTTTAAAGGAATGTGTAAGGTATACATGTGTAAGGTATACATGTGTAAGGTATACATGTGTAAGGTATACATGTGTAAGGTATACATGTGTAAGGTATACAAGTCAGTGACGCAGCGTGAGAGTTGAAGGCTTCATACCTGTCTCCCTGTATTAACTCCGCCACTCACTCTCAGGGAGCCGGTCGGCCGAGCGGACAGCACGCTGGACTTGTGATCCTGTGGTCCCGGGTTCGATCCCGGGCGCCGGCGAGAAACAATGGGCAGAGTTTCTTTCACCCCTGATGCCCCTGTTACGGAGCAGTAAAATAGGTACCTGGGTGTTAGTCAGCTGTCACGGGCTGCTTCCTGGGGGTGGAGGCCTGGTTGAGGACCGGGCCGCGGGGACACTAAAGCCCCTAATTCATCTCAAGATAACCTCAAGATCTCAAGATAACTTATTATCAACCTTAGTCAGAGGCTTACATAGTATCTCTGCTGCCTCTTTTCTAGCTATTGCAAAATTTGTGAGAGCATTTTGACTTAATCTAATAACGCGGTCAATACAAGTGCCTCTCCGCTTCTCTCCTCACTCTAGGGTATTATGATTCAGCTCCCCATAGTGCCTCCTTCTTCACTCTTGGGTTACTTCACCTTTGGATCTACATGGCTATCTTCTTGAGGTTATCTTGAGATGATTTCGGGGCTTTTTAGTGTCCCCGCGGCTACAGTTCATCCTTGGATTTGTGACTTTGTGTCAAGATAACCTCCTCCAGTTCCCCCTTGGCTGTCAGTCAACATCTCCAGGTGGAGGTGTGGAGAAAGTCGGACACGTTTACGACAGCCCTGGAAACACAAACCGAAACTGTCTCTATTTTCCGCTTGTTACAACTTGTAATAAAGTTGTTACATCTTGGCTTAACGTGTTTATGACGTATTAGAACGTTGTTACAACTTGCTATATTGGTTGTTATAGCTGGTTAGGAGGTGTTAAAACTTGTTCGAACGTTGTACCAACGTCGTAGTTTCGGTGTGTGTTTGGCGGGAAGCTTCCGGCAATACACCTCGTAATGTCCTTTAGGCTATACTTAGACAATTTTAAAGCACCATTTCGCATTTAAAAGATGTCACTCGCACACGCGCACACGCACGCACACACACACAGTGTGTCGGACCGAAGAGCCAAAGCTCAACCCCCGCAAGCACAATTAGGTGAGTACAGTTGTGTTCGGTTGAGAAGCGGGACCAAAGAGCCAAAGCTCAACCCCCGCAAGCACAATTAGGTGAGTACAGTTGTGTTCGGTTGAGAAGCGGGACCAAAGAGCCAGAGCTCAACCCCCGCAAGCACAAGTAGGTGAGTACA